TCCCTGACAACAGGACCAAGTTGTGACGAGGTCAACCCACTTTTATCAAATAAGTTTGATGTTTCACTTAGGAAATTCGTCTTTTTTTATTTCTAAGGAGATCGATTTGTAGAATCTGCAGCACTGACTATGATAAGACTGGATGCTTTAATTCACTGTAGAAGTTGAAATGAAAAATGTAAGTGACAAAAATTTTCAACTAAACTCTTTAAAAAAAAACCCATTTAAAAGTGTTTTTTTATAGATCAAAGCAGGGCTGCTATGCACACAACCTGGAGTCATGTATAGATAGCTTCCTCTATTGTTGATTGGATGGACTAGTTGAAGAGAAAAATAATAAAGCATGCCATTTTAGTATATTATTCTTTATCAGCCGAATATCTGTTACTCATATAAAGAGTAGACATTTCCATAGATAGGTTAATTCTAATGAATAGACTGTAAAATTGAGTTTATTCACTTCCACATTATTAAATATTTAACGAAATGCATGCCTATTTTAAATATTAAGGGGGATATATTTGTATGAAACCTGAACAAAGAAAAAAAATATAATTCCTAAATATTACAACCAAATTATTGAGTGAAAAAAGCATACTACAATTTACGGGGAGACAAGTTAAGTCATATTAATTCAAACTCACCCTCCAGTTTTTTGTTCCACTCTGAAGTTAACCACAGTTCCCTCTTATAGTATATTTCTTAGTGACATACAGTGCGAGTTATCAAAAACCCTCCTACAGAAGTTATTACTATTTATAAGGCTAAATAGGCTTTGGAGTTCTTCAAAAATATCTCCGTCATTATTCATTTATATACTCTAAAAGGACACATCGCTCTAGGTTGATTTGAGTAGATACATTGGCTAAAGAAAAAATAAATTAATATTACTTTAAGTTTCCACAAAATAGGCCTTCACAGCTACTCATGTTTATAGGAAAGGAGATAATATAATGCTAAAAATGCTTACTGGCATGCAGATGCTTATAATGTTTAATATCGTTCCTAATCAAAGTCTAAAAGTATTATAATTTTCTAAAGGAATTTTATTTCAATAAATACACACAAATTAATTATAAACAATTTATGAGTCAGATGCATCTATTTTTTGCTAGAACTATTAGTCTGTAAAGCGTTTAAGATACCATACTAAACAAAATATAATAGGGATGGACTTTATATTTACCGGTTTTAATGGGGTCGGTAGTTGAACGTATGTGATTTACCATTTTTTAACTTGTTTAACATTACTCCAGAATTGAAATTTTCTTCAATAAGCATAGTTAAAATAAAAATTTACTGTTATATTTAAACAATTTCATTAATATTACATAATAATAAGCCATTCACAAAAAGGAATACTGTAGTAAACTCGAGTATTCCAACTTACAGAGGTTTTAGTCATATAACTATTTGTAAAATTTAGTCACGCCACTTATCCAAATTTGAAGATACGTTACTAACAATATTATAGGGCTAACTTCTTTGAAACTCCTTCATCAGATCCATTTAGCATCAACCAAAATTAGTATCAAAAATTAATAGGGGAATTCGAATAATTTCATAGAACTAATTCAGTC